ACCTCTCCTACCTGCTCCTCCAGGAGCACCCCGACTGGCCCAGGGGCACATTCCCCTGTGTCCTTGCCCCAGAGCACAAGCTCTGTGGGAGCAGGAGCCAATTCTTCACTCGGCTCTATATTCCCAGTGCCCAGAACATCTGTTGAACTGCATACACGCAGCAGGATCGAACAAACTAATATTTATCAAATGCTCGTTATATGCTGGTCACTGCAGACATTATTTCATGTCCTCTAGGCAGGGACCCAGTTAGGTAGACACCTAACCCCTATTTTTTAGATAAGATCAGCTTAAGTTAGGATGGGACAAGTAGAGGGGCAGGACTGGGCCTCCTGGGGAAGAGACCACAGAGTCTCTTTTGTGAGGCAAGGAAAAGAAAGCTTCTTGGCAGAGGAGAAAGTGGTGCTTGAAAGGCTTCACAGGAGCTCACAGATGACGGAAGCCAGGGCTCGGGTTAACACAAATTGACATGCCTTAGTTTGTTACTCTCAAATGACTATATATTCTTTGACTAATGGGGTATTTAGTGTCTTCACCTAAACGGATAGCAAGGGTGGCGTCTGGCTTGATAGTTTCTGTTGGCATCAAGCCTTCATCAACAAGTATCTATTGAGGCTCTCAGCGTGCCAGGCACTGTACTGTTTTTGTGTTGGTCATCTGCTAGCGTATCAGCCCAAGGCTGGAGCCTCCTTGAAGGAGGAAGTCTATGTTATAGCAAATGTGTACAAAATGCAGGAGTAATGCTTATGGGTATTCACGTGCTATTCAGAAGGGTTATATAATGATTCCAGGGGCCTGATTTCATGAATTGATGGGAATAAATGAATTAACATATTAATTGTTCATGTTTCTAAAAGTATGAATAGTTGTTCTTTAAAGTAAGCTAAAAAAAGCTTCTTTTTTTTTTTTTGAGTTGGAGTCTCACTCTGTCACCCAGACTGGAGTGCAGTGGCCGCTTCCGGCCACCACAGCCGCGACCTGCTGGGCTCCAGCGATCCTTCCATCTCAGCCTTCCAAGTAGCTGGAATTACAGACATGCGCTACTACGCCCAGCTGATTTTTTGATTTATTGTAGAGATGAGGTCTCGCTGCCCAGGCGGGTCTCGAACCCGCGGGCTCAGGCAATCCACTCACCTCAGCCTCCCAAAGGCGCGGGATTACAGGCTGAGCCACCGAGCCTAGCTAAACAAGCTTCTTAAGATTGGACTGGTCACTCATTTATTTAGCAAGTTCCTTCTTTGAGTTAAGGTGCCTAACAAGTACCAGGTCTCATTCAGAGACCTATTAATTTAGCAGACTTGGGTGACTTCACTCTGGTCTCTATTTCCTAAAAACTCTGATAAAAGCTGAGGAGCTGTACTGGCATCAATGTAGCAGTGGTGTCTTCTATGGAGCACTCTACCAGGCACGGGGCTGAATGGTCACCTACTTCTAATTTAATCTCCATGACAATTTCATGTGAATTAGTGAGTCTAATCAGATACACGATTTTGTCATTGCTATATAACTGGTATGCAATCTTGCAATGGGAGATGGCCATGGTTTGCAGCTTAAAATTTAAAAAAAATTGTCAAATCAAACAGACAAGCCAGTCATAAGCAAACAATACCCGACTCAGGTACCTGTTTTGTGGGATGGGTATTGTGGTATTGTGCTGTCTACCGGTTTTCTACTCCAGACACATCTAGAGTTGCACCTAAAAATCCTAAGAGAAGTCTGCTTTAGTAGTGCAGGGCTTTGCATTTGACCAAACTCTTTCCCCATATGTTGCCTCATTGGATTCTGATGATAATTCCATGAAGCAGGCAAGACAGGCATGGACTATCTTCCTCAACATGAGGAAGAAGACACGAAAAGATCTGGCACTGACGAGTCCTAAGCCCATTCTAAATTTCTACCCTATTTCGACCACCATATGTTTCAGCCTCCTTACTTAATGTTTCCCAGGTTCATTTCCCTTAACTGTACAATGGGAACAGGTTGTGTTAATTTTGCAGCATCCTTCTCGCTCTTAAAAACAGGGCAGGAGGATCGCTTGAACCCAGGAGTTGGAGGCTGCTGTGAGCTATTATCACACCACTCACTCCAGCCTAGGTGGCAGGCAGGGTGAGACTGTCTCTTAAAACAAACAAACAAACTCCAAAAGCCAGGTTTTATTACATTATTTTAACTTAAAGATAAAAAAGAAATGAATCTTGGCGAGCCTGAAGAACCTAGTCTTAATAAACAGTCAAGTGGGGGCAGGGATCACAAACGAGAAACTCCTACATACTTAATTTTATAGCTTTGATCTAATCTCTCTGGGCCTCACATCTGAAATCAGGCAGCAAAATGTTTCTGTGAGGCTCAGGGATGGTGACTTGGGATTCTGAACTGCTGGGTTCTTTGGAGACGCTGCCTGAAGCGCTGCTCAAGCACAAGGGGGCTTTGCCTGACGGTAATTTAGGTCAAACGTCCCTGAATTTTGATGAGGCAGCTGGAGTTTCTTGAAGATATTCCTCAGCTGGATTCAGAATAATTCTTTCTACTCTTCTCTTTGTATTTCTCCTATTTGTGGGGACTTATCATGAGTGTCTGTTTCTGCCTCAGCGGAAGCCATCATCCTTCAGACCCCTTAATTCACAGTTGTGGAAATGACTTCTGAGGCAAATAGAGACCTCTGCTTCCCTTGCCATGGGGCATGAGCAACCCAGACTTGAGAGATTCAAGACAACCTCGTTTTCATGCAAATAGATCTATCAGTGCAACAGAAGGAAATAAAAAAAAAACACGTAGGTGCCAAAAAACAGAATTATTATCTCTGCACACAGAGCATTAGCTGATGTTTAACAATGTCTTCCAAGAACTCCATTCTAAACATTATCAGTTTTCCAAATATGAGAGCATGTGAGCCAAGCTAGCTATAGGGCATCTCATATTGCGAGTCCCTTATAGAGTCATGAAAAGACTGTGCTCCTGATGACTCACCAGGGGACAAGCCAACCCTGAATCTGATGTCCTGCTATGAACCAACCATGAGAAACACCCTGATTTTAGTAAGGAGGATTTCTAATTACAATTATGGGCTTTTTTGGGGGAAGAGGGGTGAGCACTCTATCCTTAGTTGACCACAGTTGCTGTGGGCCAAGTCTCTAAGCACTTGTTTTAGCAGCTGGATCACTAAATAAATTTAGTCTTTTTCTTCTGGGTCTTTGATGAAGAGCTGGTTAGAATTTATGCAAGGCATGAGAGATATGCTTGGCACTGAGTCAGACAGTATATTTTATGGGTTTCTGTATCCCCTGGAGATAAAATTACAGAAGGGGTGGAGTGAGATAAGGGGGCCTCTTGGCCCCCAGGACTCTGGTGTCTTTTGCTCTGATAGACTATTTTTAGGATTCTTAATGAATGAGAGGCTCTCTGAACAGGTATAAACCTTGCCTGTCTAGATAGGTCAGCACTACTCTGTCAGTCTCCATAATTAGGGGATATGAAATCTTTCAGAATCACTTAATCCATGATTGCATTTGGTCTGGAGGTTTTGCACGGTCCTCTGAGGGGTGCCGAAAGAGAATCTCTGTTCTTGTCACAGTGCTTCCCTGATGGGGAATATTGCTACCCACAGAGAGGCAGCAATATAGTACTCTTACGCTACAGATCTGCAGCTTGATAGGTTAGGGATTTTAAAACATACATTCTAGTACAATGCATGGAATGGTAAGAGAACACGGATGGGATAAACCTTTGGCTTACACATGCTATTACTGTTGTGGCCACAGTTATCTTTGGGAGAACTGTTCATGTCAAAGTCTTATTTTAACTTTTCTCTATTACTTTATGATCTATGAGGCCATTTGGGGTCTAAGCACACAGCTCCCATTTATAACACTATTTCAATAGAGAATAAGCTCTGAAAAAACACTGTTTTGAATAAAGCTCACATTTCCCAGAAAATAGTCCCAGTGTGATTCAAATAGGCATGGCATTGTGTACTAAGAGGCCCCTGAATCCTGTGACACCAGGAGCTAAGCACACAGGGAGACTCCTGCATTTGGATGCACCAGCAGAGACCACATTCGAGGCTACAGCTCTGGGGACCTCCCTACTGGGGATCTCCCAATTATCCCCCTGGATGGTGACACTTTGATGCTGGCGTTTCTAGGCCTCAATTTGTCTCTGGCCAGGTGGGAGCTCACTGACTTCCTAAGCTGGGCACACTCAGTGGACAGGGTACAGGCCAGCACACTGTTGTTCCAGAACAGGGTGCTACCCTGTCAGCCTGAGGCGCAGCCCTGTGGAGCCCTGGAGGACACCCGGTGTGATAACCCTCCTCTGCTAACAGTCCTCCCCAGGGAGTGTCTCCTGGAAACATGATCCTCACCCGAGAGCACAGGGTGTGGGCTTGGTCACACGGAACCCAGTCAGAATCCCAAGCAGCTGAGGACCCAGGGCCAACGAGCATCTCAGAAGCACAGTCCGCTGGCTGGCATGCCGCCAGCAACTGGAGTATCTGCCTCATTTTGAGACCATTAAATGAGAAACAGTAGGGCAGGGCATCTCATAAGGCAAACGCTTTCTAACTATTAACCACCACTATCACCACCAGCATCTTCAGAAGAGAGGTGTTCCAATGTGGAGAAAAGGGATTTTTCAAAGAACTGAAATCCCACCCCACACCACACGGAGCACAGGTTCTCGAGCCACACGGACCTCCAACTGATCCCAGCTCAAACGCTTACCAGCAGTGTGATCTTGGGCAAGTCACTCTACCCCTTTCAGCCTCAGTCTCGTCTTATAAAAAGTGGGCACCAACGCACAAACCTCACAGGATCGCCGTGAGGGTAGCACACGCCAATGCGTGAAGAGTGCCCAAATATGCCCGTCTGTTGCTGGTGCTTGGCATAACAGGCAGAGACCCCTGGCCACACACTCCAAACTCTGCCACTCAAATGCCCCTCGCAATCCTTGCCTCAGAGTTGGACAGACCATCAGCTCTGAGGACGGAGTCTCAAAGCCCGTACCTTTCCCGGCGTTTCTGGGAGGCAGAGGGGGTGCCTCTGCAGTGGGCGATGTGGGCGAGTCTGTGCTTGTGGAGACGAAGATCTGGTTGGTGAAGGCTCCATAGGAGAGCCGCTGTTTGTCCCTTGGCGTGCTGAATCCGGGCAGAGCCAGCTTGTCTTGCGGGGAGATGCTGGAGGAGTGGCAGAAGCTCTGCGGTCTGGGTGAACGCTCTTTCTTGATGGGGCTTGGCTGGCAGATGAAATGGACAGTGGGTAAGCTGATCATCAAGGGCTAGCCTTCAAGCTTACAGGGGACCTCTGCAGGGCGGGCTCAGGGGCTAATCGGGGTCCCTATGGTTCTCTGCACTTTACGGGGCCAGTTATGACGACAGCCTCATGGTGATGACACAGTACTACTTAACACACTAGGAAACCCTGGAAAGGGATCACAGCCGTATTCAGAAGCACAGGTAACAACACCCTCCCCACGCAGGGCATTTGCACCAACATTTGACTAGTACTTCCGCCTCTCTGTAACATGCCTCCTTGCATTTTCTTCCCTGCTCAACCCTTCAAAGCTGAAGCTCTCATTCTCCCCCTCTTTTCTCATTGTACATCCTCTTGGGAAATAAACTCATCCCCATCCATGGCTTTGACTGCCCCCTACATGCTGATGGCTCATCTGTAAATCCAATTCTGCCTCTTAGGTTCCAAACCGTTTTTAGTGTCTATGAGATGTCTCCGGTGCTGGCACAAACAGTGACGGCATTAGCATCCTGAGCTTCCCAAGTCGGAAACCTTAGTGTCATCTGGAGCCCCAAGTTCCTGCAGACACCTCAGAAATGTCCCTTAAACCCAGCCTGTAGCAGAGCTCACCAGCACCCACTGCAGCACAAGCCTCCTGAATGGCCCTGACTCCGGCCCCCTTTCTGCCGCTCATTTTCCACAATGCAGCCAGAGCTGCTGGGAAACCTTGCTCCTCTGAAGTTAGCCTCTTGACTTCTGACTGCATGGACAGCAAACACAAGGCCCAACCTGGCCCACAGAGTCCTTCCTGATCCGTCCTGCGAGATTCCGAAGGACAGCTGCCTCTGTCTCCCCACCCAGCCAGGTGAACGCACCTCACGCCCGGGGCTGCTTCTCTCTCTCCAACACCCAGGCTCTGTCACGACCCCATGCCTTAGCATATGCTGTTCTGCCTCCCTGGAATGACGCATTCCTCCGCATTTCCCAACCTGGCAAGCTCCCACCTATCCTCAGAAATCCATTGCCAAGGTTACTTCCTTGATAAGGTCTTCACTGTTTCCCAAGGCAGAGGCAGCTGCGTGGTCCTTTGAAAACCTCTCAGGAATTTCCCCCAAACTCTCATAATGGTTATCACACTGTATTATAGTTTGTCTCCTATAGTGGCTAATGCTTTCAGGACTTCTTGGATCATTCCTTACACCCTGCCTGGCAGAGGAAACATCCAATACATATCCAGCAAATAAGTACATGAATGAACTTTCCAAGGTAGTTAAGAGTTACCTGCAAGAAAACCCAGCAAGAAGTGAGTTTAACCCCACAAATTGTCCTTATTGGCTATGAGACTTTAGACAACTTGCTACATTCTCTCTGTAAGTTTCTCTTCTGTAATGGGAATAACAGCAGTGTTCCTTACAGGCTTTTGGTAAAGGTGATCTGAGATGACAAAAATGAAGTGCTTAACTCTGCCTGATCCATACTGAAGTATAGTCATCTGTCACTTAATGATGGGGATACGTTCTGAGAAATATGTAGCTAGGTGATCTCATCCTTGTGTGAACATCAGAGTACACTTACGCAGACTTAGAGGGCAGAGCCTACCGCACACATGGGCTAGATGGTATAGTCTAGTGCTCTTAGTCTATAAGCCTGTATAGCATGTTACTGTACTGAATACTGTAGGCAACTGTAACACAGTGACTTGTAAGTGTATACCTAAACATATCTAAACACAGAAAAGGTACAGTAAAAGTAGAGTATAAAAGATAAAAAGTGGTACATCTAAATAGGGCACTTACCAAGATAAGAATGGAGCTCAGGACTGGAAGATGCTCTGGGTGAGTCAATGAGTGAATGGCCTACGACATTACTGTACATTTTTATTTATTTATTTATTTTTTAGAGACAGGGTTTTGCTCTGTCGCCTAGGCTGGAGTGCAGTGGTGTGATCATAGATCACTATAACCTCAAGCTCCTGGACTCAAGCAATCCTCCTGCCTCAGCCTCCTGGGTAGGTCAGATTATAGCTGTGTGCCACCACACTAAGCTAATAAAAAAAAAAATTATTTTTGTAGAGACAGGGTCTCATTATGTTGCCCAGACTGATCTTGAACTCCTGGCCTCTAGCAATCCTTCTGCCTTGGCCTCTCAAAGTGCTGGGATTATAGGCATGAGCCACTATGCCCAGACACTGCACACTTTTATACAAGTTAGCACAGTAGGTTTGTTTATACCAGCATCACCACAAATATGCAAGTGATGTATAGCACTACAATACTATGACAGCTATGGTGTCACTAGGTGACAGAAATTTTTCAGCTTCATCATAATCTTATGGGACCCCCATTGTATATGTGATCTGTTGTTGACCAGAATGTCATTATATAGCACATGATTATATTCAATCAGTAATAATTATTATTTATGAATGAGCTATTTTGAAGGTTAATTTTATGTGTCAACCTGGCCAGGCTATGGTATCTCAATGTTTGGTAAAACACCAGTCTAGCTGATGCTGTAAAGGCATTTCTAAAAAAATTATTATTAAGATATAACTACCACTCTCACAGGAGATTTTGAGTAAAGGGCTATTACCCTTCATAATGTGGGTGGGTCTTACCCAATCAGCCACAGGGCTTCTGAGAAAAGACTGAGGTTCCCCAAAGAGAAGGAAACGCTGGATCCAGCTGCCTTCAGCCTTGAGACTGCAGCTCGACCCCTGCTGCAATTTCTACCCTGGTAGCCTGCCTCATGCATTTGGGACTTGCCAGCCCTTCAGCTGCATGAGCCAATTCCTTAACAAAGAATTTCTCTCTCGTTCTCTTTCCCATTCTTACTGGTTTGGTTTCTCTGGAAAACTTTGACTCACACAGCTGTCAAGTGGTGCCTAACAGGGATTAAGACTGAACAACCAAAATGGTCCTGGTGGGCTGGATCACAAGACCAAAACCAACCAATCTTACAAAAGAGGATCTTGTCCACACACAGTTGAAAAACTGGGAGGAGTGCTAAGGCACCCGAGGACATCATCTGCACTCACTTTGTCATCCAGATCATCGTCACTTTCATCCATCTCCTCCTGTCGAAGGTTCCATTCATACTCTACGTGGACGTGGGGGTTGAATTTTCCAGATTTAGCCTGGGAAAGCTGGAAGGAACAGAATACGCACACCATTTTAATTTAAATGCCAAATATCCCAATATTACACAAACTCCAAGCAAGTCTCACCTTATTCCTAGTTTTACAGGAATTGCCAGTAGCTATGCTACAGGTACAACTCTGACTAGACACGCTGGACTGCTACACACGGGCTTAAGAGAAACAGCAAAGAACTGGAGGCAGAGCCTCCTTTCCTTTAATAACTTGATTTCTCCCCCAAATTAAAAGCTTTCTTAACGTTATTAAATGGGCCTCAAAACTAGAAATTCCCAGCTGGAAGGCAAAATCAGTCTGCAAAGCTTAAGAGCTTTTAAAGTCCCAGCTCCGATCTGATCTGTGGCCTCCTTTTCTTATTCATAAAATGGGGGCAGGGATAACTATCTCAAAGGAGTCTTTTAAGAACAGAAAACTACGACTGCTGGACCTGGAACCTGGCACTTAGCAGAAATGCAAGAGAAACACATTAATGTGAAGACCCAGAGTTAGTAAGTGAGAACTCGGGGGTCAGCAAAGGTGAGTGTGACAGAAGGGTAGGGAGGGGCTGGAAGAGCAGTGTGCTTCACATTCTGAAAACCATCACACTCTGAGCTTAACTTGCCCAGTTTTTGAAAGTGGCTTCCCACATAATTCTTTACTGTTAAGCTGCAGAGAAAATAAAAAGCACAACCTTAATATACAAGTCTGTCTGGGAATAATTCCTCTCAAATGCCTTTCAGCTCCTATGTCATATCTGTACTCAAAAGACATATGGATGACAAATTTATCACTTTTTCAAATGCAGCACAGTGCTTATCTGAATGTCTTTAACCAATGTTTAAAAAAAACCCCCAAAACTCTGCTTTTTAAATCTTCAATTCCAGTTTCTTAGAATGACATTTTGAAGCAGCTGATGTCTAATAAATCTCCCGCCTTCATTTTTGCTTACCAGATCTTCACACTGGATAGCTTTTAGTCTCTTTGCTATGTCCAGAGCAGTTTCTCCAGCCTGGTTAACTAAAATAGGGAAAGAAATACATTTTCTAATTATCTAGGATACATCTTAAAAAAGCAAGGAATGATAATGAAATGACAATGTAACTTACAAGTCTCTGTTTCAGCTGAACAAATTCTCTTACTGTAATTATTAAGATACTTGGCCAAGCTCTTACCAATATCCACAGTGGGCTTGCTCCTGAGAAGAAGCTTCAAACACTCAGGTTTGTCATACGCACTACAGTAGTGCAGAGCTGTGTTTCCCAGGGCTGTCTGCTTATCCAGGTTCCCGCTGAAAAATTATAGTATTAGAAAAAATGACTTCCTCTGTAAACCTATTACTGTTAGCTACTTATTTCCGCACTAACAACGGAGTCAAATTTGAGACATACTTATTATAAACAGCGAAAACTATGACATTTCTAACATTAAACCTACATTGATAAGCAATATAATGAAACATTAATTGAGTGCTATGGGACCAGTACTTTTTCTCAGCATTTTCATGGATCACTACATTTAATCTTTACCACCATCTGATGAGGTAGGTGCTATTAATAGCCTCTACTTTACAGATGAGAAAATTATGGCACAGAGAGGCTGCAGTGCTTGCTATCAAGGTTATCAAGATAGGGATGATGAGGCAGGAATCTGAACACAGGCAGTCTCTCTCCAGAGTCAACGCTTTTAACCACTGTGCCACGTTACCTCTAGGGAAGCGGCCTGGACAATTATACAATCTGGCTTGTGTCCATGCGCCACTCTTCCTATGTGAGTTCAAATCCCCTCACTATTTTTGGTCACTCTAGTTCCTGCTCATAATCTCTTGTTTACAGAACTGCCCAATAAAGACTCCAGCAAGTCCAAACGTCCCATGCTGAGTATTACACTCCCATCAGTATGCCCCAAATTTGAATTACCTGCTGATCCAGCCACACACACTGTTGTCTTCTATTAAACTTATGAACAATGAAAACTCACAAATCTGGTGACCTATGCTGTTAAGTCTTTCTTTTAGCCTCTCCTACTGCAGTAGGTTTTTGAACACAGAGATAGGATTTTACACTTATCAAAGCCAGGGGTTGGCAAACTATAGCCCATCACTGGCCCACTGCCTATCTGCGTGAATAAAGTAATAAAGTTGTATCGGACTGCAGCCATACTCACTTGTTTACACATCATCTATGGCAGCATTCACACTAAGATGGCAAGAGTGAATAGACGAGACGGAGATCTCATGGCTTGCAAAGCCAAACATCTTTATCTGGCTTGTTACAATAAAAGCTTGCCAATTCCTGATCTAGGCCACTGATAGGACTAGTTTGTGTTAACTCAAAAGGCAGATTTAGGTAATTCAGCAGCAAAAACAAAAAAAACCATACCAGTTTTGTACTAGGAAGTCAACCAGATGGAGAGACGTCTGGTCTGCGGTTCGGACTGCGAGGTGAAGGGCCGTCTCCCCGAGCTCCTAAACAGGAAGGATAAGATAAACAGGCCGCACGCCCTATCTGCCCGAAGCAGATTCATTCATACCTCTTGTCCCCAAGTCACGACGCAGCAAGCGCATCCCTTTCACCCTCCACTCTCTTGAGTTAGATGTGGTCACCCAATGTATAGGTGTCTCACTGTATGGCACTCCACTGAAGTCAGTCACCTTGCACAGTGAGTTTCCATGTTACTTTGTCTCCTGGGACTTCAGTGAGGCCTTACCTGCCCGGGCTCCAGCAGGGGCTCCATTAGCTCTACCCCCTCTGCATAGACTTGAATTAGTGCAAGTAAGTCTCGGGATTTGATGGCCTCAAGCAATTCATTCAGTTTAGCTGATGAAGTTGAACAGGTCTTCCTTGAAAACCTATGATCGACATACTTCGCCGTGATATATTCTTTCCGTACAGTCCTAAGATGGAGCAAAACAAAATGATCAAAAAATCTGTATTTTCCAAAAGCTGAGAAAGGTTTATGTTTTTCTGACAAACATTTCTCTCTGAGAAGACTTATTTTAATTAAGTCTTTTCAACATTCAAACCAGATTTTAGACCAGTTTATTTCAATACAGGCAGAATGAAGAAACTGATATATGTACTTACTGGAATGTGTAGGTTACAAAATCAATGAGCACATATGTAACAGTAGATTTCTTTTCTACCTTGACCAATAGCATGCGAACTCCACGATTTATAAATCCTTCAAACTCAGACACATAAAAGTACATTAAAAAATTAGGCTGATGCCTGTAATCCCAGCTCTTTTGAATGCCAAAGTGGAAGGACTGCCTGAGGCCAGAAGTTTGGGACCAGCCTAGGAAACATAGCAAGGGCCTGTCTCTACAATAAAAATAAAAGGAAAAAAAAGATTTTTTAAATGTGAAAAACTTAAAAAATTCTGAAAGACCAATTAAAAGTTTTCAGAGCTTTTCTCTGGAAAAGATTTTCTACATCTGCTGTAACTCCCTGTTTAGTAGGTGAGGAAACTGAGGTTCAGAAAGGTTGTCATTAAAGCAGCTCCCACAGGCGTTCAAGAGGAAGAGTCCTTCCTGCAGAAGTTTCAGCATGGGAGCAGGAGACCCTTGGGATAACATGCCCACAGTCCGAGGGGCTGTGGTGCACTTCTCCTTCTCTTAAGGAACTGTCTTCTTCACTTCAGGTTTAAGTGGTTCTGGTGGGACTGGCCCATCCCTCAGTCATAGGAATAAGTACATGACCTAAGCGGCCCAGTGGTTACCTTAGCCACCTTTAGGGAAAGACGGAAAAGGAAGTCAGCTCAGATGAAAGGAAAGCATCAAGGAAGGGTCTGTATGCTGCTGCTCTTTGACATCCTGGATCCAGATGCACCTGAACCCACCACTTGAACGTCCCAGTTATGTGAGCCAATTAATAAAAAAACAATAAATGGACTTGGGTCAAATCCTGGCTCTAAAGCATACCAGCTGTGTGACCTTGGGGAACTACTTAATTTCATGAGCCTCAGTTTTTTTCAACTGAAAGTTCATTGGTATACTTTGGATGAAAGGATGTACAGAACCTAACAGGTACTTTCTTTCTTTTGAGAGGGATGTAACTCAAGGTGCATTCAATTTCTTGTTCAGTAGCTATGGCTGTTTCCCATATCCCACAGTCAGGCTGCACTGTTTAAAATTGTGCTGATGCCTTTTCTTTCATTCTGGGTTGGCAATAAAAAGAGTTGAGCTGGTTGATGATGGCCCGCGGACGCTGGTCTTTTCTCAACTCTGTACAGTGACTTGCTGATTCTACTAAGCAGCCAAACCTTGTGCTAGTGGATGTCCTTTGTGATTAGGTCAGAGTCCTTTTGGGATGGCCACAGCCTGATGAATTCGAGGAATTCCAGACAGCTGAAGGAACAGCCCAAGTTGGCATGAGTCTCCTTCTGCACTTGTCTTATATCAAGTGTGATAGGCAGCTGACGTGTGATGGATGGAGTGTCAGATTTAAAAACTAAATGGCTTGATGTGTTCTTTCCTGATACCACTTGCTAACTATATGACCCTGGGGAAGTCAAGTTCTTTTTATGCCTTAGTTTCCTCACCAGTAAAATACGGGTAATCACACCCCCCTCACTTACTAACTTCCAGGCAAGCTAGAGTATAGGTAAGGAACAGAGTGATGCATGGGTTAGGGGTTCATTTGAAAGCATCCTTCCTATTGTTATTCAAGAGGGTAGAATGAGGATCAATGATGGGAAGCTGTGGAAAGGTAGATCTTAGACTACTGTTTCTATGCATTAAGCTGCTCCAGCAAGGTCTGCAGGTGGCTGTCACTGGAAGTATCACATGAATTTATCACATGGATGCCACATGACAGATTGGCAGAAATGATGCAGAGGGCACTCAGGCATCACATGATCACATGGGTCACCTTAAAGGTCACCTCTACTCTTACATCTCTAATTCTGTGGCTGCAGGAAGCGTATTAGCTCTCACTAGGTACAATACCTTCAACTCTTTCTGGGCACTCGGCCCCACCATTCCCTGGCAAGAAAAGGTTTGGGGCAATAGGGAGAGTGAAAAATAAAGCTGTTTGAAAATCTGGATGCCAGAATGCTAGTCCTATGGCTGACAAAGACAACATCCTCCCTCTGCCCCCACAAGTGTAATCCTCTCCTCACCTGCTCTGTTACAGTTCACGGTTCTGGCCATTTACCCAGGTATGTAGGCCAAAAACCTCGGGTGTCATCTTGACACTTTTCTACACCACCCCTTATTTAAACAGATGAGCAATCCTGTTGGCTCTCCCTTCAAAATATATTGAGAATCCGGCTGTTTTCCACCACCTTCATGCAATGTACCTTTACTGCTCAGCGGATGTAGGATAACCGCTTCTTTCCAGTCGTTTCAATCTGCCCCCACCCCAGTCTGTCCTTCACATACCAGCTACAGCTGGGTGTCCGAGCATCAGCTCTAATGACATTGGGGCTGAGTAATTCTTCGTGGTGGACAGTCATCGTACGCATTGCAGGATGTGCAGCACCGTCCATAACCTTCTCTAACTGGGTGCCAGTTATACCTGCCCAAGTTGTGACAACAGAACGTCTCTGGACATGGCCAAGTATCCATGGGAGGGGGTGGGCTCACAGTCACCCTAGCTGACACTGCTGAGCTAAAACCACCCATCTGTAACACAACTAAGATCATGCCTCTCCTTCTGCTGAAAACCTCTCAATCACTCACAACGAAACTCCCATGCGTCCCACGCCTTACGAGCCCCTGCGTGATCTGGCCTGTCTCCGCCTGGCAAGGCATCCCCTGCCCATCTCAGTCTCGCTCAGTTCTTTCCAGTCACGCTTGCCGAAGCTTGGCTATGCCTCACCTTCCCCAGGGCGCGCACAGCGACCAACCCGGCTGTCGGGCTTCCCTTCCATGTCCGCCCTCCACCGCGCCATGCCACCTGCCCCGGCTGCCAAACGCCCCACCCCCATTCCCGTCGCCCCTCGTCCTGGGCACTTTCCCTACAACACCGAGCACTCTGTGAAGTCGTGATAACTTTTCTCTGTGTGTGTCCCTCTCCCCAGTCAGAATGCCAGCAGCACAGATACTCTGTTTTGTCTGCTGTTTCTTCTGCACCTAAAAAGGTGCCTGGAGCAAAGAAGCTGTTTCATATGGGTCTGGTGAATGAATAAACGTGTGCTCGAACTCTGTGTTACAGGAGATTCACCTTATGCCTCTCGGTCACTGGCCAAGTGAATGAGTAATAAGAATACTAACAGGAGCAAGCACTTGGATGGCACTTACTACAGACCAAGTGCTGCTCCACGCACGTTACATAAGCTCCTGAATCCTCACCACAACCCTATGAGGAATCCAGAGGAAAGTGGGGCACGGACAGGCAGAGCTAGTTGCCCAAGATCACCCAGTTTGGCGAGTGGCAGAGACGGGAACTGAACTCCAGCGGTCTGGTTTCAACACCTATGACCCTGCCCACTCCATTAGGGGTTCTGAAGAATCACACACACTGTGAAGGAGAGAGACTTACAGAGGCCAAGTGACCATGTGAGGCATAAAGCTGACAGGGGCAGTTGTGATGCTGCTTCCTACGTGAGAAACAGGAACTAAAATCCATGCTGTTACAGGAAACCCATCCTAAAGCAATGCCTTCAAGGTCTGGACCACGCAAACATTTAAAAATGCTGTGTGAGCAAAAACCACACCATGTGTCATTTTGTGATCAAGTTGGTGAAGTAACATTAGCCCTTCGTAGTTTTATGATGAAATTATAACTTCTGAGAGTCTTATTTCTCAGTGTAATTTGTGCTCATTAGTGTGAAAAAAAATCAAGCATTTGAGTGTGTATTTTCATTCTTTGTTGCATCTGCAGTGTTCCATAGCATGGCTATATCATAGTATAGTTAATCAGATGCCTACAGATGGATACTTGCTTTGTTCCTAAACTTTTTCTATTTCAGAATATAAATAAATTCCAGAAGTGAGACTGTCGCATCAAAGGGTAAATAAATTTATAATTTTGGTAAATATGGCTGATTTGTTTTTCATAGTGCGCCATTTTATACTCCCACTGGCAACATGATGAGATGGAATGTCTGTTTCCTCCCAGTCTTGCTGAGTGGGCTGCTAAGCATCTGGATTCTTGCCAATCTGATAGGAACCTCCCATTGTCTGTGTGGTCTCTCACTTTACACAGCATGCCCTGATTTAGAGATAGCAGTTCTGATAGAGTCTGACTCCACAGAGCAGTTGCCCTGCTGCGGCTGCCCAGGGAAGGGAGAGGTGAAGAGAGCTGCACATCCCACAATACACTTCATAACACTTTCCTTGGCGCTGCTTTTCCCTGATAATGGGGTTTCCTCTGGGAAAAAAAACTAAAAAGCTAAGACTTTTTTGGGGGTAGAAAAACAATTATAAAATGGTAAAAAATTCTAAATGTTAGAAATACTTACATATCACTTGAAGGGGTGGGTTTTGGTGAGGGGCTGGGTAAATTTGCTTCCATAATATCATTAAAACTATTGTTTCCTACATTCTTGGCCAGCTGTAATATAAACAAAACACAATATAGCAAACTCTTTACGACTAGTTTAAAATCTCCTATTATTTGCTTTTGAGACCTCTGAATATGTATTTTTTTTTTCGTTTGACTTAGAACACAAACCATTCATCCATCTGGTCAACAGATATTTACTGAGCATCTACTATGTGCCAGGCACTGAAATTTGAGTGCTGGGAACACAGGTGGGTAAACCACGTTCCCTTCCCACAGGTGCTCATAGTCTGGGTGGGGTCGCTGACAAGAAACTCAATCAGGTCTGCAAATATAACATGATAAATGTGCTAGAATAAAACAGGACTTGGTCCTACACACATACAAACGACCTGGGATGAGACAGAGCATGCCCCACATGTAAGTCTAGGTTAAGTTCTGAATGAACAGAAATAGATTTCCAACCATCATCATGTTTCCATTTTATATTGAACAAATTTACTCTAGAACAGAAAAGGATATAAAATGACTTGGTATCAGGCTGAGTGTTGAGATGTTGCCGGCAACAGAGGCCCCAGGAAGCGTTTCGCTTCTGGGTTCAAGATCGTTCCAAGAAAATCTGTCCTGAAGGGCCTCTGTTCATTCGTGTAATTTTGGAATCAATGCCAAGTTTAAGAAACATTCAAGCAACCAGCTCTTCGAGGGAAAAACCTTGGCCTCATTGCACAGTAAGTGTGTGGATTTGGACTCTCCTATTTCTAGTTGTCAAAGTAGGTTTCCTTCTATAAGCCGAGGAGATGGAGCGACATCCCTTCTGTGCTAAAGGAGACTGTGTTTCAAGGAGTAGGTCTGAGCCTTTCTCTAACCCTGAAGCGAATCGGGGCCGAGCATCAGCATGATCATCTCCTGCTTCCTAAAGACAAGGAATGTCCTACGCTACTCAGACAACACAAGGTCGCCACTGCTTAGTGGACATTCAGAAGGCCGAGGCTGCTGGCTGGGTGACTAAATGTCCTGGTTTTTTGGTGCTTTTCTCCAGTCAAGGCTCGTAGTGAGCTAGCCCTTCAGCCTTGTTGAGCCCAGCTTCACTCTGGCTCGGCTCCAGGGAGAGCCTCCCAGGTCCTATTTTCCTTAAGACATTTCATTCTTAGTACAAAGACTCTCACAGCGCACCAGGTCAAAACTATGCAAGGCAGGGCTTATCCGCAAGGTGCGCAGAGACGCCAAGGGGGCTTCCCTTCGTATTCTGGCATCTCACAGGGAGTGATTTAACCTGGATCTGATGACGGCTCCAAATCTGGGTGAATCGTGATGGGAAAAGCAGAAGTTAAAGAAAAACAAACTTCAGTGTTCACAGGTCTTTTTTGTATGCTAAAGCTAAGCACCACAACTTCACACAATTTTTTTCCCTTATCCAAAGAAGTTATGGCTGAAGAGTAAATGGTTTTTGTGATAGCAGCTTCAGGCCACTCTTAATTCATGTGTACTTTTATAAACTTACCAATAATAAAAATAAGACTGAGAAAAGCTTTTCAGTCATTATTTATAGTAATAGATGCCACTAGGTAATGAGAATATTTGAATTTAACTGTTATTTTAATAAATCATGTGAAAGTTAATTCATAAGAAAAAAAGCAGCCTATCCCAAGAGAAAAAAGAGCCAGTTTTACTGAGTTAATTATAGAAACATATGATTCACCCTTTCTTTAAACAGGAAATAGAATTAGTCACCATTACATACCACAAAAGTTACATTTTAAATATCTATGCAAATTCATAAAATTCAGGAATCAGAATTCTTTGGACTTAGCAGAAGCCAAAAAAGCCAAAGCAATATATTAAATATATGCATGACAACACACTTAAAATTTTCTTCCAGAGTATAGGTCACTACTTACCAAGAGTTCAGAAGTTCCTAATTTGTCTAGTTCCAAAGACTGGATGCGAGAAATATGAACCCCCATTTCTCTATGGATGCCAGAACATTCTATGCAGGTCAAAATTCCCAAATTGGTTGAAAGCCAGGTGGGTTCTGTGGAAAGGGTTATGAAGACAATGAAACAAGCAAGCTATCCAATCTTAGCATGCCAACTGCAGAGTAAGTGAAACAACAGAAGCAAAACTGGTTAGGGATTGTTATAAAGGAAAAACGTAGACAGAAGAAACGGATGCTTGTGGTTTAGCCTAGGAGCTATCACAAACGCCTCCCTTTGATACTGAATGGAGAACAAACTATGCACTTTATCCTTGTGAAAATGGGAGAGAGAGGCTTGTCCTAAGGGATCCTATGCAACATCCTTCGGCCTGGCGAGATGTTCCCTCACCACCGCGAACATCTGACGTGATGGAGTGAAGTCCTGGGAAGCACCACCACCAAGGGAACTGGGTCCACAGCAGCCCTCAACCTCCACATCACTACTCACATTAACCCGTCATTCTTGGTTATGGCTTCTCTAGACGCGCCCCTGGTAATAAGATAGCTGTAAATGCTCCACACCAAATGCTTCTTTCAGCGACCTCTGGCTCTTTCTACAACCTCTCATGGCTCCCAAACAGTGGAAACAATTACTCCTGTGACAGCAAACCTTACGGGTTCTCTCTCTGAGCCAAGCTTCTTTCTGACGGGTCGAAGCCTGACCATCTGCGACTCCTGCCATCTCCTAACACACACAGACACAAAAATAGTGACAACCACGAGACCTCTCTCTGAAGTACACATGGCCTCTTGGGTAGAAAAGCCAAGTTTCACAAGTAAAATACTACAAAGTTGTGTCACAGTGCTTAGGGATACCAGGCTTGCATCCCTATTCTGACCCCTACTATCTGTGTGACCTTACACAAGTCACTCAACCTGAGTCCAGTTTCCGCTTCTGTAAAATGGGGAGAATATTAGTGTCTTGTGCACAGAGGTTCCGTGAGGACTCAATACGGTAATATAAGCAAAACCCCAGCACCATTCTTAGTACCGTGGAAGCACTCAGTAATGTAGGTTGTTGTCAATACCTAGGTAAAAGAGTGCTATCTAAAAGCAGAAGTTTGGGAGGAGGTGACCTCAATGTGGCATAGAGGTGAGGGAGGGTTTTGCTAAGCAGGAAGGAAGGAAAGTCACGCACCACACGCAGGCGATGCCATGTGTACCGTTTCATTAAGTCCTTACAGCAAGAGGTCTATTATCCCATTCTTAGGATGAGAAAACTACAGACCACACTTGTAACGGGACTCAGCACGAGAGCGCCCAAGTTGTAAGTGCCAGACTGTGATTCGAAATATGGTCTCTGTGTCTCCTGCTCTCTCCAAATTCCATGGGCCTTTTAGAAAAGGTAGCATTTTGGCAACTGACTTTTAGGAAAGCAGTTGAAAGCTCTCCTGGCAGAAAAAACAGCACAGGTAAGAGCAGCTCCATGGTGGGAATATTCACCCTGGGAATGTCTTATGTGTGTTCCCAAGCGTCTCCACAGGAGATAAGGCTCTAAATAACTAGCTCATTTTTTATTCTACAGGAAGAGAAAGGAGGTTTACAAAGCCAATTCAAGTGTGGGGACAAATACCTGACGAGCCACAGTCGCAGCAGACATCGTTCCCTTGGAGCCGCTGCACGTCCTCAATGATGGCTTTCGTCAGATCTTCTAGGCTGTTCTCCCCAGTGCTCTGCTCTCCGCGGAAGGCCATGGTCAGGGCCTCTTCTTTGCTATTTGTCAACACCGATATCCACCTGTTGTCAAAAACACAAGAGGAAAAAGGCCTCTGTAAGAGCATGGCCATTGTTTTCTCCTTCCACTGCAAAAAATCCACTTTCGTCAATAACTTCCATAAGAGAAACCACCCTCACAAAACAGCAACGAAGTGAAGAAAAATGAAACTTGAAGGAAAGTGAGTTAAAACATGAAAAGCAACACCCAGGGGACGAGAGAGATGAGAGGAACATGCGAGCAAAGTACCCATCAATGAAACTGAGGACTTGTGTGAAGCACAAGGAAACTGCCCTCCCTGTGGACACTGTATGGGAATGTCAGGACTGAGAGGACTTGGTGAGGGTCCAGCCCAACACCAGGATGAGAGAGATACAACGAGAGACAGATGGGAGGTGGGAATGAGAGTTTAGCAGAAGGCGTCTGTTCTTTAGCGGTCCATGTCGGTGGGCACACTTAAAAGTGAAAATGAAAGGATGTTTCAATAGCAGCCACAGACGTGTATGCTTGTGAAAAAGCGACGTTAACATGGAAACTTGGTGATATTTACAATATGAAGTGAAGAGTATAGGTTACTGAGTTATATACAGAATGACTACCATAGGTACCAAACAAAATGACCCTTCGCTACTAAAACAACCTAAAAATCGGTAATAGGGGACTGGTTAATAAGGCACAAAATAATCACAAAAGGACAGTTAAACAGGCATCAAAATGTAATTTTTCATATAATTTTGTAATGAAATTGGAGAAATGCTCACGATATGTTTTGTAAGGTAAATAGGAAAAAAAAACCTGTTATATAACATAACCCCACATTTAAGCTAATGTATGTATCATTTATTTCTTTTGGGGAAAAAAGGTCAGAAGGAATTTCACTAAAATGTCAACACTGGTTGTCACTGAGTGATTTTCTGTAGGGAAGAAATGACAGAGGCATTGCTTGACTCTGTGCCTTTATGTGATTTTTCAAATCTGTGATGAACTTGCATCTCTTTCATGAATGAGAAAGTGCCAAATTAATTTTTTTTAAAGACAGTAAAAAACATTTCTAAGCCACTGTTTATTACCTACTGCACAGACAACTGTTTGCTCTCAAAAGATAATACAATGGTTCAGAGTTGAGTCTCTTATCGTTTTTCTTGGTATATTTTTCCAAGAAATGGACAGAACAAAAAGGACTATCTCCCAAAAGGTTTTGAATAAGTAACAGTGACAAAAACCAAACTACATTCTTGGAGCATGTGGATGCAAGTCACACCTCTGACTCTAGGTGGCACTCACCTTCAGGATGTTGTAAGAAATACTCTTGCCTGGCTTAACTTTTCTGCTGTGATGCAGAAAATGGACCATTACAAAACCAACAGTCCAGGAATTAGCAGAAGCGGGTAGAGAGAAGACTTGGTACCCTTTAGGATAAACAGTATTTTTTCTATCATTCAGTCTCAAGTTACAAACTAAAAATTGTTTTGTTTAAAAACAATTCAAAAAACTTGGTTTCAAGTACTTATTACTTTTAAATAAAGATGGGGGTCTCACTATGTTGCCTAAGCTAGTCTCCTCCCACCTTGGCCTCCCAAAGTGCTGGAATTACAGGTGTGAGCCACCAAGCCTAGTCTAAGTAATTCTGATTTTTAAAATACAAGTTAAGCATCCAAATCCCAAATCCAAAAACATTTCTGGTCTCAAGCATTTTGCATAAAGGATGTTCAACCTGTGGGTTACTACAAAAGTCTCTAAGTTAGGGTTTATAATACTTTATAGATGAGGAAACGGAAGCTCAGGAGAGTTATACGACTTGCCCAAGGTGCTACAGCTGAACTGTGTTAGATTAGCCTGGGATGGAAAAAAACACCTTTGTTGGTCCCTCTTTGCTGAGTTCCTTCTATTTGCCTCTTCACTCAGGAGCTCATGACAAATAAATAAGTTTGTCATGATGATAAGAAAAGGTACATTTAAAGGATGACTTTTTAGAGAAAATAATTCAAATTTGGTAGAATGGAATGGCTACATTTCAAAAGGGCAACTGCTTCTGACAATATTTTAAACTTTTAATTTATTTTAAAGTAACAAACATACCCAAAAGGGTAAGAAACAAAATGATGTATAACTGTATTTCAATATTTTAAAAATCACTTCGAGTTCTACAGTATAAAAAATAAATTGGCACTGTGCTCAGAGCTTTACACATTTTATCCTCTAGAAATCCTGCGAGCTGGGAATGAAATCCCAGCCTATGGACAAAGCCAGATGATCCGCCTAAGGGTAAAAAGCCGAAACCCAGTGGCGTGCATTCCTGTAGTTCCAGCCACTTGGGAGGCTGAGGTGGGAGGATAGCTTGAGCCCAGAAGATCAAGTCCAGCCTGGACAACACAGTGAGACACTGCCTCTTGAAAAAAATAAAGAATATAAAAAGAAGCAACTAACCAGCAGAGCCTGGACTAGAAGCCAAGTTCACCTGACTTTAAACGTGCATCTGCTCTTTTTGCACCTACCTCCTTCAATGAGAAGGAATTTCTTCATTTAATTTCACTGGATACTTTACATGAAAAAGAAACTTGATGCAGTGACACTGCCTCTATGTAACCTGGGAGTCAACGCAGAACTAAGGCTTCCCTCTGGGGCATGTGTTTTCATTCTGGACGCCATTACCTCCTGTATCTCCAACATTCCTCAAAACTGTCCCCACTCATTGCCAGCATCCACAGGGAGTTCAAAATGCAAATATGCAACAACTCCAGGATGGAGCATGTAACCCTTTTACTGAGAGCTGTTAAGGTAGGAAACCAATCTCCAGCAAAACTGGGACAGAATTACCTGTGAGTCATAAGCACAAATAAAAAAAATTCTTGAGGCCTGGGTCAGAGATACAGGGAACAAGGAGAGGGGATGTGTTTCCTGCCTCACCCAAACTGGAAGAGGAGGAGGAGGAAAGAGGGAAACCGGAGGACGGAGAACAATATTCCAAGGGGATGCGAAATTCTGTCTGGGTCCAACTTGTAGCTTACTGGGACGCAACAAGGGTACCACACTGTGACTCTGCTTTCTCCATTTGCAAAGTGGGGATTAAAGTCCCTCCTTTCTGGGGTTGTGAGGTTAATAAGGCACGATGTGCACTGAGCACATTTCAATAAATCTGATGCATATTCTTATAAATATAACCTCTCTCTGGATCTGAGGGTGGAAGGCCAGCTATCTGTCTTCTTCCTTTCTCAGCTGATTTCCAGTCACACACCCTCCCACCTGACCTGCATCGGCCAACTCCGTACCCATCATCAAGCCAGTCATTTCCTTGCTATTCCAGACTTTCAGCACTTCCCACCGGAGTGCAGAATACTTACAATCTTCCCATACCTTCACAAGCCAGCTCAGGCTTCCCTTCTTCTAGGAAGTCATCTCTGAGCAAGAACTCAAGAAGGCGTGTGCCCCAAGTCTATGTTCCCCCAGCACATGGCCACTTTGGTCCCTGCAATTAGCATCTGTCCTGTTTCATACCAACTGTCCTCCCCAGCAGAGATGAAGCTTCTTCAGGGAAGGTCGCCCAGCTCATTTAATGCTGTATGCCCAGTGCTTTGCACAGTTCCTGGCATATTGTTGGCATTCATTAAATATTCAGACAATGAAGAGATCAATCAGCGCTTTCTCTCCTTTTTCCTTTGTCTCTCTACTTCTTTCTCAGCCTTTTTTCCTGTATCTCCCAATTCTGCATCTTTTCTACCCATGTCCTATTTTCTCTCTGATCCCTTATCATTTCCCCCATGAGATAGGGAAAGAGTAAAGCACTCCAGAGAAGACTGTGTGTGTGTGTGTGTGTGTGTGTGTGTGTGTGTGTGAGAAAGCAAGAGCAAGGAGGTAAGCACAAGAGAGAAAAGAAGTGAGTGTAAGGCAAAACGAATATAGACAGAATTCTGTGGCTCTACAGAAATAATTAAGGGAAGGAAATTAGCACTTATTGTGTACCGCTGATGGAACAGGAAGTTTAATAGTTCAGGAAACTTGGTTTAAATCACCTCAAGTTATGCACTTGAAATAAAAAATCTGAACACTACAAAAATGGCTAATTGCCCCCTTTTACACAAATGATTCTCCCAGGTCACTGAGAATCTAACAGCACACACCGCCTTTTTCAGCTGAGGAAGGCTACAGAAAAGAGGAGGGAACGAAGGAGCCTCAGGGCTAGGGATACTGTTTTAACAGGGGGCTGGGGCAGCTTAAGGCTGCATACCTGGTCAGGTGAGTGTAGGATTCCAACTCAGTGTACGTGATACCAAACCTGTTCTTCCTGCAACATCAGGCTCCCTTTAACTGAGCCCTGCTCACCTCAGTGCCAGGCTCTCCTGCCCCTCTCACAGTGACAGCCAAGTGTCCAGGTAGACTGGCTGGTTCATGTGGCCACCAAACACTGGGTAAGCCCCTCTAAGTGCATGCAGGTGCTGTGATTAGAAGGCGAGTAAGGCATGGGCTTTGCCCTCAAGAAGCTTGTGGCTGTGGAAGGCTGCAGACGTGCACCAGAGGAGGGCAGCATGAAGTGAAAAGGCCGTAGGAGAGAGGGGGGAGCAGAAACCCGGGGGTGGTGAGGTTGGAGCAGAATCTAGGAGGTACCAGAGCTTACTGGGTAGCCAAGATGCAGTACGACAGACATAACAGCAACATGCAATGGCCCAGTGGTGAGGAAGAAGTGTGGGGAGCAACTGGGAGTCACCGGGAGCAGCTGGGAGTCACCAGGAGTAGCTCTTACCAATGAAAAGAACATTAAGGCAACACAGCACAGGAGAGAGGTGCTGTCAGTCCAAGGCACTGTACTATTATTTCAAAACTACTTACGCTACATAATCCTGTTCATCTTCTGCCTGAAAGTGATATGTCCTATTATCTAAAATACAAAAGAGAAAAGTAAGTGAAACCTTGGAAAACAGAACACCTTCAGGTATAACACAGACTGTACAAGTTCCTGGAAGAAAGACAACAGAGTAACAAGATTTTAATATTATTTTAGTTTTACATCATTATGTTTTTGCAGTGACACAATTCATGCTGTCAATATTATTTTTCTTAAGTGCAACAGGAATACAATAAGAAAACCACAAGTACATGCAAACAGCTGGCATCTCTTTTGAAAAAACAGTGAGAAGGGAAAGGCCTGATCTGATCCAAATGGATTTCCATGACAAATTGCAGTGCCAGTTGCCAATTCAATATTTTCTGCTTCATTTTCAATTTAACTATGTTTTCTTTCTTTAAATCTGTTTGGGAAATGACTCATTCACTGCTCCCATGCTCCCTCCTGACTTAGCCCCAGGGCCTCCCACATGCAGGCGGTGACTCTGGTGTCGGGCTGCTCTCTTGCTGGACCAGACCGTAGGGAAGAAAGGCTCACCTCTGCTATGCAGGTTGGGAGAGGGCAGCCTAACGTGGATACTTTAGGCAGGTGTACATGAGGGAAGCCCCTTCTTAAAATTCAGGATTTCTGAGAAGTTTCCACATATCCAGGTCCAACGAACATTTACTGAGCACTTGGTGTGACCTCTTGGGGCTAGGCACTCACATTCCTGTCTCCCTCAGAGAGAGACGTGTGTCAAAGAACACACCACAGGAAGCAGTGTCTGGAGCTCTGGCTGAATTCCTGCTTTACTGCTGAGACTTTGAATAAGTCACTAAACCTCTCTGAGTCTCAGTTTTTCCAAAATTCTGTAAAATGGGAAACTGATAGGGCTTTTGTGAGGATTAGCAAGAATGAACACAAAGTACTCAGCACATAATAGATGCTCATTAACTGACAACAACTATTAATAACCAGGTTTTCCAGGGTTTTTGGCTTTTTGGAGTCATGCAATAACTCCAACTCTTCATATTCTTTTCTCACCAACAACCCAAGAAACCTCTTGGTCATGAAAATCACAGGACTCTAAACTTCTAGAGACGCTGCTAAGTCCAGTAGACGTCGTGTGTAACGAGCATCAAGACAGACTCAGTCTTCTGGGGTTGGGGCTGTTTCTGAGCCTCCATTCACACAACTGCATTAACAGGACTTCAAGCGGCAGACGGGATTTTTGTGCTTCTACACACAGATCACGCTCTTTGGCTGTGGCCTGCCTTGCTAGGCTGTGACAGAGAAGGGAGAATAGCTAAGGTCAGTGTCGCAGGATTTCCATATATTTGCGAGTGTCACTTCACTGGCACTGCCAACCTCTCTCTTCACAAAGAAGTATCCTCTCAGCTACAGCGCGGGGTCAGTAGTGTCCCACGGGAACCAGCACAAGCATAGGGAGCCAGCCTCGAGGGAGAGCCTCACCCCATTCCCCAACTGCTACAGCTGCGGGGTGGGGACTCATCGTGCTTTCTCACGAGAGGGGAGCACACTCAGGACCATGACATGAGACGGGGGTGTTTGGCACCATCGATTCATACATTTTGAAGACAGTTCTGCTTGGAAGCAAGGACATGATTTTTCCTTTAAGAGCCCAATTTTGCAGGGAATGTAACTGGGTAAATAGTTGATCAGTTATAGTAGCACACATGCACTCCCAAGTCTACATCATTGGGCAACCACAGACGCACATCAGAATCACCTAGAGGCCTAAAAACAACAACAACAAAAACCCAAAACAACAATAACAACAAAAAAACTCAAGTCTGGACCTCATACCAAAGACTGAGAATCTTCAGATCTAAGAGAGAAGTCGGAATATACTTAGAAACAGCTCTTCAAAGGCACAAAGCTGTGTGTTCACAGTCAAGATCTAGGCTCTATTCTACCGCCTGTCCATCTGACAGTTAAGCCCTCCCACCTGCGGGTGGGCTTGGTGCAAGTTAAAAGACCTGAGATCTCCCTAGAGCTGCACATGTAGGAACAACAAGAAATTGTTCAAGTGCCAACCCTGGGGAGCCTTGCTTGGAAAAGTCGCTGCTTCAGTGGAAATGTGCAGGTGTAAGAAGCCACAGTGACTGATGCAGCGAGAGAAAAAGGACTCACGTGATATCAGGTCAAAAGACTTCTTGTCCTCAGCATTCGGTTTCACCTGGCAGGTGAGAAGGTTCAACTTAGCTGGTTGCCTGTTAGACTGGAAAAAAGAGAAAATTGAGAAGCGACACGCAGCACTGTCTTCTTGCCTGCAGATGCAGTGACCCAAAGGGCAGGCATGTGGTTTCCAAGGCCTGCTCAGTGATACAAGGACACATTTTGGCAATGAAGAATACAGATATCTGTGCACTGCTCCAAGTCTAGACGCCAGATCTGTAAGTTTCTGTCCTTAAATATAAGCTGGTAAGTTTGGTAAAATCTTATTTATCCCATTAGAATGCTGAATCTCATCAAAAAGGAAAAAAATCTAGGTGCTCTGCAAAACATCTTCTAACTGTGCATGAATATCCCAAAATAGATTTCATTAGAATAAAACCCAAAACAATTCAGCTCACTTCTAGTGAAGAGTGGATACGGTCCATGAAAATGCACTTTTCTGGAACCTACACATATCTCAGCACAAACAGTTGGCACTTTTAGAACTGTATCTTACTGTGAAATATCAGTGAGTTCTGTTTCATTTATTCATTCAAAATAACCCCAATAATCAATTATCCTAAGCCTGAGGTCCCAGGTGTCTGCAAATATAGCTAATTTTGGTTGCAATGCACAATTTATATTATTTCTCCCTGAAGTACAAGGACAATTACTATGTGCCAGGCAAAGCTTAATGAACCCTGATATCTGGAGAGAAGGAACACATGATAAGGATTTCATATGACTTATCAGCAAACCTCTCAATCATACACGTAAAATAGAGCCTGCAGTACCTGATCACTTTAACTTATGGAGTCTGCCACATAATCATTCTGGTCAAAACTTTCTCCTGCCTACATGCCTGCACTTGTACAAGGTCACATACTGGCTAACGGCTGATGCTAGGCTCCCTGCTTCCTGAAGAATTTGACCAAAGAGTGAAATGTCTGAGAGCCTGGGCTGGATTTTGCTCGAATACTAGAAGCCTGGAGAAGTATGCTATGGAACTCCTTAGCTGGACTCATATGCCTGCCTCAGTTGAAGGCCAAGATTCTGAAACTCCCCACACCAGGTACATTTCCACCCAAGGATTTTAACTTTTAGGGAAAAGAGAGGGGCAGAGGTTAGAGGGAAGTCTTATCAGTGAACAACTGAAAGCCCCACACAGCAGATGTGGCATATAATCAAGACAATTACGATGACACGCTGCACCTCTACCTTTCCTTCTCAATAATGGGCACTGGACAGCTAATTTCTGTTTCCCTTCCTGTGCTTTCTGGACCATTTTCAAGATCTTTCTGCCTCTGTGATTTCAGTGAGATTAGACACAGAAAAACAATGCTGCTTGTCCCGTATCTTTCTGTTCCAAAGCTAACTACCTCAGGGGAGGAAGTGAGAGACCTCAAAGGATTTCATGTTCATTGTTTGTACCTTGGATTGAGAAATGGAACTGGAAGGAAAGTACAAGAGAGTTTTGTCTAAGAGGATACAGTGCTTGGGAAACTGCTCACCAAACCCAGAAGGGAAGGCAGGAGCTCGTGGGGCTTTCTTAGAGCCTGGAGCTTGGGCCACTAAAGGCCTCAGACTCCAATATATGCAGCCGCAAACCAAGGCCCAGCAAACTGTTAACGCAATTGTTAATCATAGTCTCATCTTTCTGGATGCTGATAAAACTGCTGACTTTCCCACATGCATGACAATGACCTACGACCACCTGAGAAGGCAGTGGACCCAGATGATAGTGAGAACTCTCCTTACAATAATATGCTACAATTTGGAATCCACATTTAAAGGAGGAGGCAGAAAAGCTTAAGGAGATCAAAAGATGATTAAAGGGGTAGAGATGGAAACCTTGAAGATGAGTTAGAGGCATTACTTAGTCCAGCGAAGAGAAAGCCAGGGACTGACTTAATAACCACCTTCAAGTATGTAAAGGCTGTTATTAGGAAGGCTGGGCAGCTGTTTTCCATGTGCACAGATGAAAAGAAATGCGCTCAAATCGTAAAAGATTTGGGCTGGACGTAAGGAAGAACTCCCCCAAACTTCCCAAGCTTAAGATGATTATGCTTAATACGAGGCTTCATGTTTCTTAAGTAGAGAAATCTCTTAGCAACATTTAACAAATTTTTAGACACTATTCGCATTTCAGCGTGGCAGAAGGCTAACTTGATTTCTTATTCTTCCCAAATCTAGGTTTCTACAGTGTTTCTGAACAACCATAGTAACAGATACAACCAAGCAATCTTGCTTTGTTTTTTTTTTTGAGTTGGAGTCTCACTCTGTTGCCCAGGTTGGAGTGCAGGGGCAAGATCACAACTACCACAGCTTCAACATGCTGCGCTCAAGTGATCCTTCCGCCTCAGCCTTTCCAGTAGCTGAGACTACAGGTGTATGCTACCATGCTTGGCTAATTATTTTGGTTTACTGTAGAGACGAAGTCTTCCTATTGCCTTGGCTGGTCTCCAATTTCTGGGCTCAGGCAATCCTCTTGCCTCAGCCTCCCAAAGTGCTGGGATTACAGGTGAGAGTCACCACACCTGGAAGTCAAGCAATCTTAGATGTGAAATCTTAACAACAAAACCATAAAGAAAGAAAAAAGCCACTCAGTTGAGTGCTAACCGCACTCAGGATAGCTAAATAGTACCATTCGTCTCTCAAGCATGGACTATTCCAACGTACTTTGCTGACAGACGTCTGAAGATAAGGGCTTTATATGGTTTACGCCATTCCATGAATGGCCCACAGTTTCAGCTATGGCGACGCATGATAGTTGTTCCCTTAGAAGTTCGTCAAACCTACGGGCCTGACATTTGCCACACCGACATGAACCTCAACCGAGACAGACACACCTCGTTTATCCACGGTGCGCTTTCCCAAATCGAGCTGCCAGCAAGGCATGTGACTACCGCCCTATCGTCCCAAATGTGGCTCTGAGGAGTGAAGAACATACAGGGACACCACAGAGGGGAGAAGCGAGTCCAACCAAGGAGCAAGGCATCAGCGGCATGGAAGTCACTAGGTCCTCACAGGAACGTCAGGTGTTTACATCACTATCTGCAATTTCAGAGTGCTTTCTTGTCATTTAGTTAAAGAAGGTATATTCTTTTCTGAGGTTTCAACTGACTAAATCTCAGCAAAACCGCCAGGCTCGGAGGCTCAGCCTGTCATCCCGCGCCTTTGGGAGGCTGAGGTGAGTGGATGGCCTGAGCCCGCGGGTTCGAGACCCGCCTGGGCAGCGAGACCTCATCTCTACAATAAATCAAAAAATCAGCCCGGGCGTGG